ATATATATATATATATATATATATATAATTCTAGCTCCAAAGGTTTCCTTTCCGTGAAGTACAAAGAAACTTGATTTAAATTTAAGAGTATCATGTATTATACATATACACATAGTTATTTAAATGATTAAATAAATAGATATTAAAATTAATAAAAGATAAAATTTAAATTTGAAAAAAAAAATTCACAAACTTATGTAAGATTAGAACCAATTACCAACCTCTTAAAGAATTTCAAGTAAAATTATGGTCTCATACAAAATTAAAGAGATTTAATTAGTTGTATTACTCTGGTAGTGCTCAATTTTTTTTAGAGTAATTAGTAATTTTTAATTTAAGAAAAATATAAAACAAGTATTAAATGATGGTACACGGGTTAGAAGAAAAATATATAATAATTTTCTTCATGTTTCACAATATCACAATATTTAGAGTAATTTGTTAACGTATCCATCGACTTATTATTTTTTAATTGAAGCTCACTAGTAAATTATAATTATAATAAGCTTAAAATATATTTTCGATGTAGCTTACTAACATAATTTATGTACCGGAGAGACCGTATCGGTCACGTGGGCCAACACGTGCCATTTCGTCAGACACTCATGCATAGTAAGCCACGTACAAGCATCACCATCAACGTCGGCTCGGCATGAGGTCGAGAACCGACATCAGTCTGGTTAATGCCAATATGGACCATCATCACTCATCGAGTCGGCTCGGTCAAGTACCGTTCCGACATAGATCGTACCGGAAGTATACAAGCTGCCGTATACGGACTAGACGGCTCGGTCATTTGCCGTTCCGACTAGTATTGAATAGTCGGCTCGGCCTCTTGCCGAAGGGTTAAACAAGTCATAACGGTAATCACAATTAAGAAAGGTAAGTACATGATTAAAGCCTAACAACCAATTAGTACCGTATTACCTAATTTGGTAAATATCTGAGAGGGCCCATCACGCTCAGGCCCATGTCAGATGCTATAAATAGGTCACACATAACAAGGTATGTCACTGTTCATTAATTATCCTAGAATATCGTGCTTATCCTGACTTGAGCGTTGGAGTGCCTTTTGCAGGTACCTCCCCCCTCTAAAGAATCCGTTTGAAGTATCCGTTCGGCCCTTCTTACCAAGAAGACTACGAGTGTATCCTTAAGCAGGTACAATTTACATGAAAAAAAAAGTAAGTGTAAATTAATAAATATTTTTTATTTTCTATTTTTATCTTTAACAATTATAATAGAAACACCAAAAATTATTCAAAGATACTATACATATTACTGTAACTCCCAATCATTAGGCAGCTCTATTGATTCTATTTTAAAGGTTTATTAACATACTTGTATTTTAGCTGGTGTAATATACATGATAAATATTTATTTTATAAAGTTATAATTCATAATAAATAAATATTTTTAAATATTTAAATTATATTATAATAAAATTTTAATAAATGAATATTTTTAAATATGCAAATTATTTTAACTTTAGAAGTGTGTGATTTACTTTATTTTCTTATTTCTTTTCCTATGAATATTTATAGAAATTTTTTTCCAAATAAAGCCTAAACATGTTATGTTTTAACAAAAGTAAACAATAGTGGAAGACAAATGAATCATGTGTGTGTCAGAAGCAGCTTTTTCTGTAATTTTTCATGTTTTACAGAATATGCTAATCTTTTCTTAGTGCAAAATATATTTTTAGTTTCTTTAGTTCCATTCTATTTATTAAGAAATCATATAAATAAAGATGATTATGTTATCAAATATCATAAATAATATAAATACACAACATTTATGTTACATATGAAGTTCTTTGTCTATAAAACTTAATATCTTAATAACTGATTGTTTTAATTCTATTCATTTTAAAGTTTGATATGAAAAAAAAAATCTTATATAAATGTCTATAAAGTTTAAGATATTTTTTGACTTAAAAGTATTAAGAACAAAGAACAAAATATTAAGAATTTTTATTTGAAAAATAAACCATTACTTGTTACTTATTTCTATTAGCTTTTAAAGATTCTTTTCCTTAAATAAACAATTACTAGTAGTATATCTTTAAACATAAACTTGGGAAGGGAAAGGGTCAGAGACAGAGTGGTGGCGCATGAGTATGCCATATTCATGGTCCAGGTTTAATTTGATGAATCATTGTCATGAGTTAATAATTACATTAAATATTCATGGTTGGGCTTTAATTTAGAAGAATCTTTTATCTCGACCAAATTGCTACGTAACATCTGCAATCATTATAGAGCCCACGTGGCAAACAGATATATATCGAAGACAATTGTAGGACCCCACGTTAATATCTTGCGTTGGCGCCATCTGTGCTCCAAATCTTACACACAAACGCGTTCGTTATCAAATATCAACGATCAATTATTAATATGGAGCCAAAACTCGTTACTCGCTAGAAAACATGATTTTTGGAAATTTATCCACAATCTATGCAGCATATTGCCTCCTTCAATTAATTCACATGATCCTTTCAAACAATGAAATGTATAAATGAATTTTAGGTGATCATGTTGGCAGAATTATGACAAAAAAAAAAAAAAAAAAACTCGACACCAAGCTGTTGATAAAGAAAATTTGAAAACATAATCCAAAGGGTATTTTATTATAGAAAAAAAAAATCCTTTACTAATGTGTATTGCGTTAACCTTATGAATTATTGTTATTTTTTTTTTAGTTCACCCACATTTTTTATATCGTAACTAAAAGAATAAAACTATGAGAAAATAAATATGCATCTATAATATTGTTGGGCCCGATAGTCCACCTGTTGCTCCACTATAGTATGATATTGTCCGCTTTGGGCTAGGCCCGCACGGTTTTGTTTTTGGGGTCCTTCCCAAAAGGCCTCATATGGAATGGTGGACACCCTTATAAACTAGCCAATGTTCCTTCATTTTACAGATGTGGGACTTGGGATGAATCCCAATAAATATAAAATAAGTTTATAATGTCATTTTATTATAAACTATCATTATTGTAAACTATTGACTTTTAAACTCTTTTTGGACTACAATTTTTTATGTTTTAATTTTTTTACACATTTCAAATAATATTAATTAACTTTTTTCACAAATATTCCTATTTAATAAATGTCATTCTTATTCCATAATCTTTCTTGTTAAAGATATTAAATAAGTATATTTTAGACTTAACATATTGGTGATAAATATTTATTTCTTAAGGGGTGTATAAAAACCTTAAACATAAAAAAAAATATGATAGAAATAATAAATGAGTAAAAGTTATACTAACAATAATATGTCCTCGATTATCGGTGTAAATTATTATACATTTTCAATGAACCGTGATCGTTAAACTCTAAACATATATTATAAAAAAAAATATTTAATATAAAAATTAGAACCTGATAGAAGAGTTACCTAGTTGTCTAATGAATTTGCGTGGGAAAAGATTGAAAATGGGTAGATTGAGCTTATGGGAGGAGTTGCCTAGTGTTGACGTGGGAGAACACACCGTGTGAGGTACGTTAACGTGCGAGCAAAGCCATTTAACCATTTGTGGTATTGCTAACTGCCAACTAGATTCCTTCTCTTTTTCTCCTTAACTTCTCCCCAATCCACCAATACACACAACACTTCTTTCTCTTTCTTTTTCCCTATATATATTTTGCTGCCACAATCCCTCCATTCAGTTAATTAGATTAGATTTCGAGTCCCCACAACAACATAGACTTATATATCCATCATTGTCTCCGATTAATATTAATTTCTTCTTTACCCGATATGACATGTATTAGGTGGCTTTCCTCTCTACGAAGAACATCAGGTAAGTTTATTTAATTTCTTCTCATCATAATAACATAAAGTATCATGTACTTAGACATAGGTTTTGCATTAATTTGATGTATATATGTTTGCTTCCCTTTTTCTCTCGATTAGATGTTTGTTTTGTTATTTGTTAACTCAGAAATCATAAAGAATGTTTGGTAAAGTTGTTGCTTTTGGTTTTGCAAATTAAACAGGTACATCACGTAAAGCATGCGAGGAAGATGGATTACGTAACAAGCGAAGCGTGAACGAGGAATATCTCGAAGCGTTCAGAACAAAGTCCTACATTGAAATATGCAACAAAGCACAAGTGAGGATTGGAAAAACAAGCACCAAAACACTCTCTTCATCATCATCTTCTTCTTCTTCTCCTTCTTCCATTCCTTTGTGCATGCAACTCACGGAGTATTTGCTAGAGCCACGCCAAGAAACGATAACAAACATAACGAAGAGGCTGAAGCTGCATCATCTTCTCGTGGAATATTTCGAAGCCAGCTTAGAAGCGTGTCGTTGTTGTGACACAATCCTTGAAGCCATCCATTCAATGCGTTTTGCTTATCGAAGAATCACACGCGTTGTTAAGCTAAGCAAAATGGTTTTGGACGATGCAAACGACCAATCCAACAACAATAATAACAAGGATGCTATGTATAGAGAACTCGCTTCTTTTGCTTTGCAAAACAACCCTTTGTCGAGTGTTAACACAGTTCAGTTTCGTGTCATTCACGATAAGTACGTGGAACTTTTGCATAGGTTAAGGTCAATGAGGAGGGAAATTCGAAGGAGATTAACGATGAAGAGGGTTTTCAAGAACGTTGCGGGGGTTGCTCTTGTTACTTCACATAGCGTGGTTCTTGTGGCTTTGTTGGTGTTTGCTTTTCATAGCATGGTTGGGTTGGTGGCAGCGCCTAGTATTTTATGTAGCTTGGTTGGTTTGTTTTTGAAGAAGGATCGTGAAAATATAGGGTTGAGAGCTTGTGAGAGGCTGTGTGAGCAACTTGATGTGGCTGCGAAAGGGGTTTATATTCTGATCAATGATTTGGACACTATGAGTAGGATGGTGAAGAGGTTGCACGATGAGGTGGAGCATAGGAGAGTGGTTGCTCAAGTTTGTGTGAGGAATGGGAAGTGTGAGATTCTAAAGCAGGTTATGAGGGAATTTTGTGACCAAGAGTCTAGTTTTTTGGAGCTGTTGGACGAGCTTGAGGGACATGTTTACTTGTGCTTTCTCACCACAAATAGGTCTAGGAGACTTGTTATGCAGGAAATTACAGAGAAAAAAGATTGAGAAGTTAACAACATGCACTTCTCTCTCCTTGTATATAAAAAAGGTTCAAAGGTGCATGAGTTGGTTAAGTTCCATATATATATATGTCACAGTGCACAGAGGAAGGTTTCAAAAGTAGGATGGCTCTACATTCTCTTTGTGGCAAGGTGATGAATGCTGGTTAATGTTTCAAATGCTTTGTTTCCTTCAATTTTTCTAGATCATAACACATATTATATGTGTGTCTGTAAAAGGCAGGATGAATTAGAATTAAAAATCTAAGGTTCTTATAGTGTACAAGTTTTTCACATTCTATGTTTTGGTTAAGTTGTCCGTTTCTGATTTCTGTTGAACATATTGACCTGTTGGTTAAGTGCATATCGTATATAGTCTTGGAAAGTTATATATTTTTTTTTAAGAAACCTGATAAAAAATAATTATTTCAGTTTCATTAGTAACACGTAATTAGTAGTTATCTTATATACAAAGTCGGTACTTGGTATCCAAAGAAGAATATTTCATGAACATTGAATACCTCGTCCTCTAAAAAACAAGCTAGAAAAAAAAATATGAAAGAATGCAGTTTTGTCACGATTTTCCTCCGTTTTAAATATTGGATTAAACAGGTGGGTGGAGAGCATCCAAAAAAAAAAAAATTGAAATGCACGTGAAAAAAAAAATACCAATTGCGAGAGAAGAGTTGTTGGAGGAGAGTCACGTTGCCACAAGGAATTGCAAGGGAAAATCGTCATGCATCTAAACTCTAGAAAATGATTATATTGTAAGGAAAGAGGAGTCACAAAAGTATTAATTGGTCTACTCATTTTTAAAAAAAATAATTTAAGTGTTGAATTGTTTAAATTTAATATAAAGTATAATTTATCAAGTAAAATAAATTTTAGTAGACTTACTCTTATAATAAGTGATTCTTTTTGGATCCTTCTCATATATTATATAAAAATTTATTTATTTATCATTATTATTTTTAAAGAGTTACATTAATTTTTATAAATTTAAATACTAATTCACCTATTTAAAAGATAAGTTGATAAACTTAATTTAGAAACTTTATTATAAAATATTTGATAGGCATTTGACAAATATATCAATTGTGGTAGATAATAAATTGGATACAAGTTCAAATTATCGAGTTATAATTATTTGATGAAATTTTGGTATTAAACAAATGATTTAAAAAAAAATTAAGAATTGTTCAACAAAAAATATTAAATTTAGTGAAAATAAAATAAAGCAATAAATTGTGAATAGTTTAAATTTATAATGAGAATAATCAAATATTGGTTCACTACCTTTCCCCATGCAAAACCTCTTAGTTTTTCATTCAATGTTGAAATTATACAATTAATTCAACAGTCTTTAACTATATTTAAACCCTAATTTTGCCAGAAATTCTATATTGTTTAAGAAAAATCTCAATCCCATAATAATTTTTGTAAAACAACATGCATTAAGGTTAAGAACCAAATAAAGTTAATTGATAAGGTTTAACTTATTCATAATAATAAATGTTATTAGTGTTTTATCTAAGTCGCAATTCTAAAAGGGTTTCTCAACCTCAATTAAAAATTATAAAATCATGCAGAGGTTAATTAGGTCACAACAAACATTAAGCATAAAAATAAAATGATTAATTGAATAGAAACTTTATTAAATAAAAACACAAAGAAATTACATAGGTACAGTAGTTATCTTAATCTCTAATAGTAGAGAACTTAGTCACTTATGACTAAAAATTATACAAATGAAGAGAGATCTTTGATCGACCCATGATTATAAGAACGTTCTCATAAAAATTCTTTCTAATCTCTATAGAATTGTACTGAGTATTTACAAAGACCTCCTAGAAACCTTATTTCATAACATTTTTAATTGTTTTTAGGTTAAGTACACTTACTTAGAGTGTCCATGTAACTCGCTCTAAGCGAGCTTGTGGGATTTTTTAGGTGTGTTTTCTATCTTTACTCACTCAGAGCGAGTAAGCTACTTGCTTAAGCAAGTTAACTCCATCTTCGGAGGATGATTTATGACTTCACTTGTTTAGAACGAGTTATTGGACATTTTAAACAAATTTGTCCTGCTCTGAGTGCCTAGTTGGTTAGGTTGGGGTGAGCCTAATTTGAATCTTTTGTACGTAACTAAAATTTTCTTCTCCATGTGGCTCAAAACTTTAACAAAGAAAAATATTATAAATAACTAAAATTAAATAATTTCATTCTTTAAATAAAATTCATTTTAACTACATATTTGTGAGAGAGAAAATATATTTTAAAATATAATATATATTTAATAATTACCTAAATTACATAAAAAATATAAAAAACATTTGACAATTATCAAATATGTTATAGATTAATTACTCATTAAAAATGCCAAATGTTAATAATAATAAAATATAGTAAATAAATAACTTAAACTCAACCTTGGATTAATTTGAGAAAAACGTCTATATAAAATTTGGTAAACTTTAGCCTAACATAATTCATGTAAACAATCAAATAGTCATAAACTCGGCATTTTGACCATTATAAATAATAAAAAATTAAAATTGCTAAAATAAATTTTTAAAAAAACTAATTACCAAACTAAAATTTTTTTGACACGTAGGAGTGAGAGGGAGTGAAGAAAACGCAGGAAACGTGACGACTTCAGGAAAACGTCAACCTGTTTGACGTTTTGGTTACATTGTTCATGCAGATTCCACGTACGAAAATGTTTGAATGGAAGGCGTCACACAGGGTGACGTTTCCTACACTGTTCATGATGCACATCTTTTAGAGGAATCAGTTCAGTTTTTTAGAAGAATCAGAATCTGGGCACAAAAATGTTTGAAAGGAAGGCGTCACACAGGGTGACGTTTTCTACACTGTTCATGCTCAGAGGAATCAAAATTTGTGTACGAAAATGTTTGAATGGAAGGCGTCGCATAGGGTGACGTTTTCTGTAGAAAAGTGTAAAAAAAACATTAACAGGGTAGACGTTTTTAGTACAAAAAATGTCAGTGGGGGTGACGTTTTCTGTATCACTTCTTCCCTCCTCTCAACTGGCTTCTTCCCTTTAAATAACATGTGAGAGTAGTGTTTTGAAACAAGAAGAGAAGGTGTGAAGAAGAAGTGAAGAGAAGGAGAAGGAGAAAGGAAGAGAAGAAAAGAGGAAATTTTAAAAATTTTGAAAGAATTTTATGTTGTTATTTTCATGTATAGTTTGTAATTTATAAGTTACAAATTTGTACATGTGAAAAATATGTTGATGATTAAAATTGAGTACGTATGAAAAAATTTTATGAAGTGTTAAAAAAAATTTAATTTTTTAATGCACAATAACAATATTTCCTTTTCCTTTTTCGTAGTCGTTCTGTAATGAACCTGGAATAGGCCATTCTAAAACCAGAACGGGCCGTTCTAGTCCCAGTTGTTGTGTGTTAAATTTCCTTTAAAATAATTCATACTTAATTAGACAGAAGAACAAATACTTAAAATATCACACATAACTGAATATTACATGATGAAAACTCCATATAGACATTAATGATTTAGGTCATTAATGATATTTGATGCTAGTTGCGGACAATTTGTTCTATTATGACCTTCAACCCTACAATGTCCACAACGTTGTCTTCGTTGTGACTCTGTCCAATCCATTTCATTTCTTATACGCATTGATTTCGGACGGCCTTTACCACGCAACATACTTTGGTCAGGGACAATGTGAGGTCCGTTGGTAGGACGAATGTTGTCATCATTGCCATGCGGGTACCATTTTCCAGAATATGCCTCTTTGATATATGCATTTGAATAGGTAGCATCAACATATATAGGTCAATGGATCTATGCGAACATAAGCACATGCAGCAATGGCATGTGAACATGGATATCTGTAAGCATGAAAAGCTCCACACTCACATTTTCGTTCATTAAGAAGTACTGTCCAAGTATGACCACCTCTTTGTGTAACTGGATTAAAATCTTCTTCCACTTCGAATCTGGTGGCCTCATAGTCATATCTTCGAACAAAATGAGATGTTGCCTCCTCTTGGTTATTCTGCATAGCATCCATTAACTTTGTACAATATCGTTGACCAACGACAAGCTCCACATTTGCTTGACCTAACCTTTGCACAAAATACTCAACTAACCTAGCATATGTACACTTTACAAGAGCTGTTATTGGTAGGTTACGAGCACCCTTTAAGATCTTGTTGACAGCCTCAGACAAGTTTGTAGTCATGTGACTATATCTGCGACCTTGGTCATCATGGGCGAGGCTCCATTTTTCTAATGAAATCCCATCAATCTATCGACGAATTTCTAGGCTTATCTCATGAAATTGTTCAAGCCTCCTAGTAAAGTTATGTTTGCAAGTTGTGTAGCCTGTCCAAATTTAACATTAGGTAATAGTATAACATATTATATACTATAAAAATAGAGAATGTAAGAAGGAAATAATATTTTACCCATGTGAATCAGCTATTCTTTGAGTTTCACATTTTTAAACCGGTGGTTGAAATTGCTTGCAATGTGACGAATACAATACACATGATAGCCATAAGGTGGTTGCCAACCATTATTTTCATTTGCCACAACTGATTTGATGCTTTGGTGTCGATCTGATATTAAACAAATGTCTTGCTTTGTAGTTACATCTCGATGAATGTTTGACAAGAACCATGACCAATCACTTAATGTTTCACCTTCAACTACAACAAAAGCAATTGGTAAAACACGAGCATTACCATCTTGTGTTGTAACGATTAATAAAGTGTTGCGATATTTTCGATATAAAAATGTTCCATCAATTTGTATGATGGGTTTTGTGTAGTTGAATGCATCACAAGCAGGTTTGAATGTCTAAAACACACCGCGAAACTTGCGAAAACGTGCGTCGACGACATTATTGGAAACATAATCTGTTGTCTCAAGTCTATAAGCAGAACCAGGACAACATTCTATCATTTTATCCAACCACCTTGGCAAAAGGTCGTATGAATCTTTCCAATCACCAAAAACTCTTGAAATGGATTTTTTGTTTTGCTTTTCAGGCCTTTCTGTAGGAAACCTTATAATTAAATTGTCCACTTAGTCTTTCTTGAATTAAGGATATTGACATGGAAGCATCTTCCCTAACCATTCCTAAAATGAAATGTTAACAATAATACTAACATTATTATGAAGAATACCTTTATTTTAAATTTTTTGAAAAGTATGTATAGATAAAGTTACCTAATATGCAAGAGCAAATGAATTCTGAGTCCAATTTGTTGTGATCTTGAGACAATATTGCATTAATACATGTGTGTTGACCACCCCATTTCTTTATGACCCACTTGTTATATATTGTACTTAGTGGACATACTAGCCCTTAGTTT